AAGCAGTGAGGCATATAATCACCCACAATTTATTGACACTATGCACCTCCCCTTAGGTAATCAGCATACAGACGCCAATAGATGGCAGTAAATAGCAGTATACATGCAAACCAGAAAAATAAATGCAGATGGCATGCCTTTGTAGTCAAAACAATTGTTTGCAGATAAGCGAGTTGCTTTTCTTCCCATGGGAATATCCTAACACTTCCTGGAGTCTACTTCGTGGTTGACTGTATGAACAAGTGTGCTCTATCTCAATAGTTTGATAGAGCTTCTTGCTTTCTATTATAACTTCTTGTTTCCTATACAAACATCAGAGTGGCCATATAAATGTGACATCTTCTGGGTAACATATAAAGCTAAGTAACCAATTAAAAGACTGAATTCCAGGCTACAAGAGGTTTCACAAAATGATAGCAATGAAGCAATAATTGCAACAATTTTCTAGAAGTGACCACTTGCCAGAATTTATCCTCTTCATTAGCTTCTTTCTTGTCTGATGGACAGGCTACTCCAGTCTCCAGATTAAGTGCCATTTTTAAATTTAGCCTCAGTTACCTTGTTTTTTCTGCATTTGACAGAACCTATACTAAGAGGTGTGTTAAGCAGCAGGATCTCAATTTATTAACTACGACATAACTTGTTAAAAATTCTATCTGCATGGCAGATAATCCATACTGACAAACTACAGTATGGCTACCGGTAACTTCTGGATACAATTCAAGGTGCTGTTGTAACCTACAAAGCTCTTCATGAAACAGGGCCAGGACTCTGAATGACCTCCTATCTCCAATTATCTCTGCACACCTCAAAAGATCAGACAGGATTAGCATGGTTTTATTTATTGAACAAATTTACATGGCCTTCCATCTAACTAATAGAACTTTGGGTGGTGAACAAAGATTAAAAAATTAAGACAACTGTCCAAATAAATTAAAAGAAAAACTGAGTCAAGTCCCCTATAAAAATATCCAACATATTGTCCATAACAATGCTCTATTAACATCCTGGCCCCAGTGCCTGGGGGTGGGGGGAGCCAGGTCTTTATCACCTTCCAGAAGGCGAACAGGGTCAAGGCCATCCGTATCTCTAGCATGCATTGTTCTGTAGTGCTGGTGTCATGAGAGAGAAGATAATGCTTCCTAAGACCCATTAGGTGATACTGCTTCACTTAGGGGACCCAAAACATGCCCACTCTGCCAGATCCAGCGGGACAAGCAGAAACCATTGGGGATAGATGGTCCTACAAGTAACAGTCCACCCACCCTGTGGAACAGCATTCCCTGCCCCCACCCCAAGATGGTCCTGACTCTGCTGGCCTTTAGAAAGCCCTGAAGATCTGGCTTTTCCCTCTACCATTGGGCCAGGGTGTTGCATAAGCATCAGTATGTGTTAATCTATGTGAAATATGTTTTGACCCCTACAATATAGGTGCTTGTATGTGTTCCTTTGTGTCATTTTTGTTCTTTTATTATTTCTATTTCTGTGGTTGTTTTCATGCTGGTAGTTCCCCAGAATTGCCGCAAGCAGGCAGCCTTACAAATTGAGTAAATTAACTAAATGCACAGAACATCTACAACCAGCATCATCATTATCTTGCCATCTAATGGGAAAGTGGCTGAGATAACAGCAACTGTCAAGGCTGGCAGATTTGACTCTCTCCCAGATACTTCTGAAGAACATTTAAATGACACCACTTTAGACTTTTAAAGAGTTAGTGTAATACAGGATAATGTGGCTTAATGTATAAACTCAAGAGTCTATGTCTAGCATAGCAACCTAATCTTTTAATATACTTGGAGGAAGAAGTCTGAGTCCACGAAATGGGTTGTAGAAAAAATTCACACAGGCATTTCATGTCCAGTTTACATCCTCTACATCCATTGCCAATAAACTGGACTATTAGATTTCCAGGGCCCTGCAAAACATTCAGCAGGACATTCCTTTGGAAGGCCTATGGATCTGCTTAGAAGAGCGTCCTGGACTCTTCTGTGCGTGCACACATGGACACTTCACTGTGCAGTTCCCTGCTGAAGTGTTGGTGTAAGTACATGCACAGTCAACTGGGATCAGCTGCATGTTTTAGAAGCTACTTTAATGCACTGTTTCACTCACATTAACAGGCTTTCCAAAGCATCTCTTTGGAATGTGTTGCATTTAATACATTGATCTCACAATTATGAGAGACAATTTGGTGTAGTGGTTAAGACACCAGGCTAGAAACTAGCTGACTGAGTTCTAGTCCCACCTTAGGCACAAAGCCAGCTGTGTGACCTTGGGCCAGTCACTCTCTCTTGGCCCTAGGAAGAAGGCAATGGCAAACCACTTCCAAAAACGTTACCAAGAAAACTGCAGGGACTAGTCCAGGCAGTTGCCAGGAGTCAATATAGAAGTCAAGAAGACATATACACAATCACAGTACAATTAGTTTATCATATGGGCATTGCAGAATACATTACTTTTTCCTTAACCAGATTTAGCATAGCAAATGACGGAGTAAAATTAGTATTTATCCCTAATACCTGGTTGTGGTGGATTGCAGTAGAGAGCAAGGTTCTCAGGAAAGAGGGAGCGCGTTCCAGGAAGGGCAGAGAGACAGTCTGGAGCAGGCGTGTGGGAAAGTGTAAGAGGTTTAGCATAGCCACTCCCTAGAATCTCCCAGGGTATATCCACTATTTGCAGTAGTACAGATTTAGTCTGGCAAGATTCTGTGTATTTGGTGTGAGCAATTAAAGGACTGAATTTGGATGAACTGTTTCCTTGTTGTTCTTGGATTGGGCCTGACACTAGTTTTCTAAATGTGTGCCCCCAACAAAGTGATGTACCCAAATAACCAGCAGCAGTATCTTTCCCGTCTATTCCTAAACAATGTTTGATAACTATTTTTAATGAAATAAAAGCCGTCAAGGGGTTGAATCATAGATTTCCCAGGTTATTCATAGTCCCTCCAAAGGCCTATGAATTTGTTCTTTTGAAATATTTGTATAAACTGATCTGCTTCCTGAAACAATAAATAGATCAGAAATTTTATGATGTAGGTATTGGCTCAGAAATCACATAGCAAAAAGTGTATGAAATATATACACATGTAGAACTCTTTAATAGTCCCTCCTCTAAAATATGCATTTTCTGCACATTTTAAATTTTAAAAAAGCCCACAATTTAATGAAGAATTGGGACAGAACAGGTTGATAAATGAGCACAGGCAGAACTAGCATGAATCCGAACCATATTGATCACAGTAATTTATTTTTGCCAATCACTGTGAAATTCTCTCTCCACTGAAATGGGCTGGACCTCGCCCTTGATGGCCAATTTCAAGAGAAGCCTATAAAGCTATTCTGAGGTGCAATCATCTCTTTAATCTTAGCATTTTATTTCTACGATGGATGTTGGAGAACTTTAATGTATGCTTCTTTATTATCCTTGTTTTATTATTTTACCTGATGTCATTAATTTTCAATGATTAAGTTTATTGTTGTATGCTAAACCATCAAGGTTGGTGTGCCAGGAACATGAGAATATGTTTGTTAATCAATCAATCAATCAATCAATCAAAACCCTGACAACAGATTACCTCCTTTGTGATGAGAAGAGAGGAGGACTACTTTCCTACCATGGCATCTAGACAAACTGGGACTCCATTTTTCTGATTACCTTAGGAATTGCCTGTGCCCACACTTAACAGCAATAATCAAGTTCATGCTCTCCCACATGTGATTTCCAAATCAGACCTAAACCTAAATTTGGGTTGAATTTCTTGGAGGAGCAATTGTCTAGCAAAGACACACACACACACACAAAGGAATTCGATACAGGTACTTAATTAACTCAGTTAATTATGGCAACTGGAACCAGCAACTCCATCACTAGGCAACATGGTCATAAAGTGCGATGTCACATGACTGTGCCGACTAATGACACCAGTTCCGGCAATTCCAGTTGCCATCATTAGGCGAATCCCACATGGTCACAGCGTCCTAATCAATTGCCATTTGCCACCTCCTATCAGCTTCCCCATGTACTTTGCTTGTTGGAAGCCAGCAGTGAAGGTCACAAATGGCGATTTTGTGATTATGGGATGCTGTGACTGTTGTAATTACAAGCCAGTTGCCAAGCACCCAAATCATGATCACATGATTGTGGGGACACTGCAACAGCCATAACTACAAGGAATGGTCATAAGTCCCCTCATTCAGTGCTGTCATAACTTTGATTGCTGAATGAGTGGTCGCTGAACGAGGACTACATGTAATACTGGATTTCAATTTGTCACCCCGGGAATTCCTAGTAACTTTAAATCTAATCAGTGACAGAATTCACTGATTCTTTCTTAGATGGCAGGGTTAGCATTTCATCAATAGCTTTTATCAAGACACAGAGCAGAATTT